CTTGTGAATGCCTTGGGAAGTCAAAATGAAACTGTGTTTAAGTGGCTGGGTTTAATATTGCTTTTCTGGTTATCGCTTTTTCCATGTAAAGTAAAATTGTCCTCATAGTACAAAAAACTTAATCAAATAGACTTAATTTTTGTAAATAGGAGTCCTACCCCACAATAAAAAAAAATGAACTATTGATACAACATCATGGATGAATCTCAGATCCCTTATGCAGAGTGAAAGAAGCTCAGCTCAAGAGGTCACAGTGATGTTCTGGAAAAGGCAAAACCACAGGGACAGAAAACAGCCCATGATCGACAGGGGTGGGGTCGGGAAGCTAACAGAACTGTTCCATGTCATGACTGTGATGGTGGAGACAGGACTTTATGAATTGGTCCAAATTCAGGAAACTACACACAGTAAAGGATACAGTATATAAATCAACAGGTTTTGTTTTGTTTTGTTTTGTTTTTTTGCAAAAGCCAGTAATTCCCTTTCCACACTTTACTGAATGTCCTGCTCTCCAGAGGCAACCACTTTTAACTCTTTCAGTTGTATCTTTTGGTCTTTACTTCTTGCCTCTAAATCACATGCTTCATTCACTGTTAGGCATTCTCTCTGGACTTCCTACGATGAAGACTGTTTAGCTGCCTCATGCATATTCCTCCTGTTTGTGTCTCTCACATCTACACACCTGCATCCACCTCATCCTTCAATCTCCCAACAGTTACTTCTTAATTTTGGCTGGTTCTATATTTCAGATGCATTATGACCATGTAAACAAGATTTCAATGAGCCATGTCATATATTCGCATTACTTTTTCTGATGTGTTTTCTTTGTGGCATCTATGAGATTAATAATTTTGCTTTTTACACATGCTTAACTTTCTATATAGTTGGTGCCAGTCCAGCCCCACACTCTTCCCCTGATTGTTTCAAGTTCCTCACAATACACTCATACACATCCACATGTCCCTCAGCTGTGTCTTCCTGAACCTCTCTCCAGGAATGTCCTGTCCTGCCCCAGTTTGGATGGTTTGTCTCTGAGTTGAGTGCATATATGTCACTATGAGACATCTCTCTTCATTATGCCTGTCACCACCTTTTTGGGGTGTGAACCCCTTTTCCCTAGATCAACTGATCTCTGTCAAGATTTACTTCCATCATTTTTGTCAAGAATATCCTCTGACAGTTTCTTTAGAAAGAGGACATTAAAACTTTTTGAGACCCTGAATGTCTTTAAAATGCCTTTAATCAGCCCTCCTGTTTAACTGATAAATGGTTTAAATGGTTATGGAATTCTGATTGGAATAATTCCCTGACGCCCCCCCACCCCCCGCCCCCAGAATTTGTAAGGATTTTTGCTCGATTGCCTTCTGTCTCCATTGTTACTGTGTTTTTTGGTGGGTTTTTTTTTGTTGTTGTTGGGGGGGAGGGGTTCCAATCTTAATATTTTTTATTGAAGTATAGTTGATTTACAGTGTTGTGTCAACTGTTGTTGCTGTTGAGAAGAACAAGCATTTCCATTCCTGACCCTTTGTATGGGACCTGCCTTTTCCTCTGGAAGCTTTTAAGCTTTTCTTTGTCCCCAGTGTCATTACATCTACAAGAATATGTCTTGACGTGGAAGTTTCAACCTTTCTGCTGGACTCCCCCTTTCCATTTGGAAAATCAGACTCTTAATTCTAATTTTTTTTTTTTACTTTCCCCTCTTGTGTTTTCCTTGTTCTGTTTTTCCTGGAGCTCTTATTATTGGAAGTTGAACCTCCTGGGTAATTCTCTAGTTTTTATGCCTTTATTCTCCTATTTTCCATCTCTTTGACTTTTCAGTTTTACTGTTTAAAAGATCTCCTTAACTTGGTCTTCCAGCCCCTATTTTGAATTTTCATTTCTACGGTTATATTTTTAATTTTTAAAAACTCTTTCTGAGTCTTTAAATAGAATTTTGTTCTAATTTCATAGGTATAATCATCTCTTAGCATTCAGCTTTGGGCGTTGGTCATAGGTGGTTTTTCTGGTTGTCTTGGTCTCTCATGTGAGGAGTTCTCCTGAGATGCCCAGGGACCACTGGTGTGCTCAGGTATAATAACAGAACATCAAAGAATCAACTGGAGATTCTGTGCTCATAAGACACAATGTTTCCTGTAGGACAGCCCCACTGGGCAGTCTCCATGGAAACCACCAAAGCCTGTTCTTTGGTTCTTTTCTATTTGTTGGTCAGATTCCCCCAGAGAAGAATCTTCCATCCTGACACCTAGGGGATATAACCTATGTGAAGTCAAGTGGGCCTTAGAAAGCATTACTACGAACAAAGCTAGTGGATGTGATGGAATTCCAATTGAGCTATTTCAAATCCTGAAAGATGATGCTGTGAAAGTGCTGCACTCAATACGCCAGCAAATTTGGAAAACTCAGCAGTGGCCATAGGACTGGAAAAGGTCAGTTTTCATTCCAGTCCCTAAGAAAGGCAGTCAAAGAATGCTCAAACTACCGCACAATTGCACTCATCTCACACGCTGGTAAAGTAATGCTCAAAATTCTCCAAGCTAGGCTTCAGCAGTACGTGAACCGTGAACTTCCAGATGTTCAAGCTGGTTTTAGAAAAGGCAGAGGAACCAGAGATCAAATTGCCAATATCCGCTGGATCATCGAAAAAGCAAGAGAGTTCCAGAAAAACATCTATTCCTGCTTTATTGACTACACCAAAGCCTTCAACTGTGTGGATCACAATAAACTTTGGAAAATTCTGAAAGAGATGGGAATACCAGACCAGCTGACCTGCCTCTTGAGAAACCTCTATTCAGGTCAGGAAGCAACAGTTAGAACTGGACATGGAACAACAGACTCGTTCCAAATAGGAAAAGGAGTACATCAAGGCTGTATATTGTCACCCTGCTTATTTAACTTATATGCAGAGTACATCATGAGAAACGCTGGGCTGGAGGAAGCACAAGCTGGAATCAAGATTGCTGGGAGAAATATCAATAACTTCAGATATGCAGATGACACCACCCTATGGCAGAAAGTGAAGAGGAACTAAAAAGCCTCTTGATGAAAGTGAAAGAGGAGAGTGAAAAAGTTGGCTTAAAGCTTAACATTCAGAAAACTAAGATCATGGCATCTGGTCCCATCACCTCATGGGAAATAGATGAGGAAACAGTGGAAACAGTGTCAGACTTTATTTTTGGGGGCTTGAAAATCACTGCAGATGGTGATTGCAGCCATGAAATTAAAAGACACTTACTCCTTGGAAGGAAGCATATTAAAAAGCAGAGACATTACTTTGCCAACAAAGGTCCATCTAGTCAAGGCTATGGTTTTTCCAGTAGTCATGTATGGATGTGAGAGTTGGACTGTGAAGAAAGCTAAGCGCAGAAAAATTGATGCTTTTGAACTGTGGTGTTGGAGAAGACTCTTGAGAGTCCCTTGGACTGCAAGGAGATCCAACCAGTCCATCCTAAAGGAGATCAGTCCTGGGTGTTCATTGGGAGGACTGAAGCTGAAACTCCAGTACTTTGGCCACCTCATGCGAAGAGATGACTCATTGGAAAAGATTCTGATGCTGGGAGGGATTGGGGGCAGGAGGAGAAGGGGACAAGAGAGGATGAGATGGCTGGATGGCATCACCGACTCGATGGGCATGGGTTTGGGTGGACTCCGGGAGTTGGTAATGGACAGGGAGGCCTGGCGTGCTGCAATTCATGGGGTCGCAAAGAGTCGGACACAACTGAGCAACTGAACTGAACTGAACCAAAATTCTAGGATGAGCAGGAGGACTGGGGGCTCAACATTTAGAATCCTTTTCTTCTCTCTGTCCCTACTCTGTGCAGCACCCCCTGCTCAGACACCGTATTTTACTTCCTGGAGAGACTGGACCAGTCAGTGGTCTTACACCACACAGGGAAAGGATGGCCATCTCATGGCTTGATGTAATAAAGCGGAGGTGGAGAGATCTAACTATGGAACAGACTTTTAACCAAATCTCTTATTTTTAGTGCCCCCTTCACCTTCTTCTTCAGAGGTCTTATGAGCTATTTTACTCCACATTTTCCCCACCGCTGGCTTGTTTGTTCAGCCCAGTCTCCAACCTAAGTCATTTACTCTGCCCAGCTCCCACCTTTTGTTGTTCTCATGTCTACCCTTTTTGAGATGACTCCCCCGCTCCTCAACTCATGATTGTCTGTCACCACACCCTCTGTGTCTTCTTCAGAACAGTCCTCTTAACCTGTAATACTTCATTAATTTCTTATTTATGACCCATCTCTGCTGCTCGGCTCTCTTAGAGAAGATCTTGTTTGTCTTGTTCTTATTTATTCCTCATGCTGATCACAGCACCATACTTACAGGAGGGATTACAGCACAGAGGCTAAGAATATAGGCTCTCAGGAGTTCTGGGTTCAAATTGCAGCTTCATCACTTTTAGGAACAATATAGCCTTAGATAAACCATCTACCCATGACTCATTTTTTTTTTTTTTTGCATCAACAAAAGTGAGAGAATATCCTCTCCACTGAAGTTTTTAGAGTGATTTAATGAGTTAATCCAGGTAATGAGATAATGCTGAGGGCATGCCTGGCACATGGTAAGCAACCAATACATGCTAAGTTAGGTAGGTGCAGAATTAAAATGAATGATCAGCTGTACCCCAATAGAAAATAAATAAAAAGTTTAAAGAGAAAAATGAATAAGTGCCCTAACATTTCTTGGTTGAAAATATGGTCTATATTGTGGCTCAGCTGCTAAAAGAATCCACCTGCAATGTGGGAGACCTGGGTTCAATCCCTGGGTTGGGAAGATCCCCTGGAGAAGGGAAAGGCTACCCACTCCAGTATTCTGGCCTGGAGAATTCCATGGACTGTATAGTCCATGAGGTTGCAAAGAGTCGGATACACACGACTGAGTAACTTTCACTTCACTTCATGTATCATACTTGGATGAGTTTGGGGTATGCATTTCTGTCCCCTTTTATTCAGTGAATAACTTCAGATCTTCTGTTGCTTTTTCGCCAACAGGATTTCCATCACACGGGTCACCGCTGACATCTCACTGGCCAAACGCTCTGTCTTAAACAATCCCAGTAAGCATGCAATAATAGAAAGATCCAACACGAGGTCAAGCTTAGGTAAGTGTATCCATTGCTGAAGAGCTGAAGCCATTTAAACCTTTTTTGCTGAGGCTACTAGTGAGCAGATCTGACTAGATGATAATTCCGTGTGTCAGAGTGCATAGGCAAAACAGACAGGTGTCACCAGTAGCCACTGCTACTGTCAGTGATTTCATGGTATGGAGGATTTGTTTTGAAAGTTTTCAAGTTAAAAATTCCACAGGCTGTCAGCATGAATGTTTTGGATGGTGTCTGTCTTCACAAACATGAGCTTAGGTGTCTATAGACTCTAAATAAAACTCCTCGCTTTGCACAGTGTTGTCACAAGCAAAGTCATTAATATCTTTAAGGCTCAGTTTCTGTTACTGAATCAAACTTGGCTCTGCTTGCCTGCATGCAGTGAAGCCAGTCTACTGATGCAGGGTTGTGGTGAAGGAAAATGCAGCATTTATTGCAGGTGCCAAACAAGGAGAACAGGCAGCTCATGTTCAAATGCTCCGAACTCCTTGATGGCTTCAGGGAAGGGGTTTTAAACAAGGCAGTGTGAGGGAGGGGGCTGCAGGGGAGATCAGCTCGTGCACAGTTCTAGGATTGGTTGGCATCAGGGTGAAGTCTCAAGCATCATCAACCTTTTGGTTTCAACCAGTATACCTTTTCTGTTCTTGCGGTCAGCAGTTTTCATCTGGTGGGGATCTGCTTCCTGTAAAAACAATTTAGGAATGTGTGTCCGGCCTTTATATCTTTCAAGAACTGGGAGTGTGTTGTTTCTTCTGTGTGACTGCTTTATAGTCTAAATCGTTAATAGTTTCCCAGCCCAACAGCTATTCTTTGTTTCTACATTTTCACATTTCTCAGTCATTAACTTTTTAAAAAAAAACAATATTGTGATAGTTTCAGGTGGAAAGCAAAGGAACTCAGCCATAAATATATACGTATCTGTTCTTTCCCAAACTCCTCTCCTATCTAGGCTGCCACATAACATTGAGTAGAGTTCCCCACGCTATACAGTAGGACCTTGTTGGCTTTCCATTTTAAATATAGCAGTGTGTACATGTCAATCCCAAACTCTCTAACTATCCTTTCTCCCGATCCTTCCCCCGGCACCCATAAATTTGTTCTCTGTCTGTGAGTCTGTATTGTAAATAAGTTTGTATGTATCATTTAAGATTCCACATATAAGGGATGTCATACAATATTTCTCCTTCTCTGACTTACTACACTCAGTATAACAGTCTCTAGGTCCATCCATGTTGCTGCGAATGGCATTATTTCATTCTTTTTAATGGCTGAGTAATATTCCATTGTATATATGTACCACATCTTCTTTATCCATTCCTCTGTGGATGGACATTTAGGTTGCTTCCATGTCTTGGCTGTTGTAAGCAGTGCTGCAGTGAATATTGAGGTGCATGTATTCTTTTGGACTATGTTTATCTCCACATATGTGTCCAGGAACAGGATTGCAAGGTCATATTGTAGCTCTATTATGAGTTTTTAAAAGAACCCCCTTGCTGTTCTCCATAGTGACTGCACCGATTTACATCCCCACCAACAGTGTAAGAGGGTTCCCTTCTCTCCACACCCTCCACAGCATTTATTGCTTGTGGGTTTTTTGATGATAGCCATTTTGACTGGTGTGAGTTGATACTTCATTATAGTTTTGATCTGCATTACTCTTATAATGACTAATGTTGAGCATCTTTTCATGTGCCTCTTGGCCATCTTTATGTTTTCTTTGGAGAAATGTCTACTTAGAGCTTCTGCCCATATTTTGCCTAATCATTAACTTTTAAGTCAGATTTTTGAGACTCAGGGAAGCCTGGGAGACTAAATCAAAAAAGTCTTATTTCAAAGGACAAGGACTCAGGGACTTGGATATGGTGTCATTTCTTCATCTAAACCCAAAAAGAGAGAGAAAGAGATGATACTAGCTACTTTGTGGAATTACTGGAAAGATTAAACATAGTACAACTTCCATAAATGATGGCTATAACCCCAAATCCCTTCATACTTGGATTATATCAAGAATTATATCAATACCAACATTTTTGTTTCATTTGTAAAAGCAATTTGGAGATTTTAGTTAACACATCTGCAAGTTTGTGTTCGAATCCTGTTTATGATCATGTACTAATTTGATCAAATGAAATGGCTTTGGCAACTATTCCATCTATTTGGCATTAATGGCTATTACACATGTAACTTACTGAGTGTTAGGGGTTTTTTTTTAATATTTATCTACTTGGCTGCACTGGGTCTTAGTTATGGCATGAGGAATCTTCAGTCTTCATTGTGGCATGCAAAATCTTCAGCTGCAGCATGAAAATTCTTAGTGCAGCATGCGGGATCTTGTTCTTGGACCAGGGATCGAACCCAGGCCCCCTGCATTGAGGGTTTCTGTCTGTATCTTCCCTGTGAAATGAGAGTGGGTGAGCATGAGGACACAGATATGAAGGACAGCGCATCTTCATGCTCACGTTTCACAAGGAAGATATGGACAGAAGCTTCTAGATGTGGCTGCAGACAGTTAACACTCTGTGTCAGTGGTTGATGAGTCCTGGAAGAAGACACAGGACAACAGGTAGAGAGTAAGCTGAGGACGAGGGTGTGATTTTATATGAGGAAATCATATAAAATTTTATATCAGGAGAGGCCTCTCTGAGGAGGTGACCTTTTAGCAGAATCATTTGTGTTATGAATTCTTTATCCTGGCAGCTACCTGAGAGAAGAGAGAAGTTCTGAGCAGAGGGGGAAGTAGGTGCAAAGGTCCTGAGGCAGGAGCATGTCCAGTGGGCTGAAGGGGGAGCAGGACAGCCGGTGTGACTGGAGTGGAATGATGAGGGTGTGAGATCAGAGAGGTGGTGGAGGGCCTGACTGGGTAGCACTCTTGGGCCTTTAACTGTGGATGTGATAGGAAGAGGCATGGAAGCAGAGAGGTGGCACAAGGTGACTAACATTTTAGAAGGATCTCTGATGGCAGGTGTGGAGAAGGGAAAAGGAAGAGACAGGAGAGAGGTGAGCAGGAAATTAGGATTCTGTTGTTCTGCTGAAGCAGCTTCAGAGAGAAATAGTGTATTCTGCAGGTAAGTGGGTACATACTAAACCTGGCACTTCTACAGGCTTATGGGATACAGAGAACAGACTAGTGGTTACCACTGGGAAGAGGGGAGAGGGCAGAGGCAAGATAGGGGGAGGAGACTGAGGTACAAACTTTTAGGTATAAAAATAAGCCACAGGATGTATTGTACAACATGGGAAACAGCTAACATTCAAATATTCATTTATTGGGCTGTGCCGGGTCTTAGTTGTGGCACACAGGATCTTCAATCTTGGTTGTGACATGCAGGATCTCTACTTACAGCATGTGGGATCTGATTCCCTGACCAGGGATCGAACCTAGGCCCCCTGCATTGGGAGCACAGAGTCTTAGTCACTGGACTACCAGGCAAGTCCATGGAGCTAGTATTTTATAACTATACATGGACTATAATCTTGAGTCACCCTGTTGTACATTTGTGCACCTTATATAATGCGGAAATTGTCCTGGAGTTTTCTCCTTCATGTTCCCCATCTCTTTGTGACCCGACGGTAAAGAATCTGCCTGCAATGCAGGAGACCCAGGTTTGATCCCTGGGTCAGGAAGATGCCCTGGAGAAGGGAATGGCTACCCATTCCAGTATTCTGGCCTGGAGAATCCCACAGACAGAAGAGCCTGGCGGGCTACAGTCCATGGGGTCGCAAAGAGTCAGATATGACTAAGCAACTGACACTTCCACTTCACTTTCACTTTTTACAGCAACTATACTGCAGTTTTTTTTAAGTGGTGCCTTTAGAAGTATCCTTTCAGCAGAGCTGGGGTGTGGCAAAGACTTGGACAGGAGGTCACCTAGGGGACTTGTCATCACTCAGGTTAGAGAATAAGAGAGCCTGTAAATTAGTGACAGAGGGAAGGAGAAGACTGGTGGGAATCCAGAGGTGAGAGAGTCAGGATTTCTTTACTGGATGGAGAACACGAAGGAGAAAACTCCAGGAGGATTTCTGCATATTTGCTTTGAGGAAGATGGTGTTATTCTGGGGATAAGGGGCTCAGGATGAGGAAGTCATGGAGGGCAGGGGTCTGGGGAGGGGGATGAGAAAGATGACAGCTCCATTTGTGCACACGTTGGACTTGCAGTACTGTGGAACATCCAGATGTCCAGCAGGAAACTGTACACTCGAAGCTAGAACTTCCCAGAGAGGACAGGGCTTAGACACAGTGGATTCTCTGTATTCACGGGTGTCATAGGTATAGGAATACCCAGTCACCCATAGAATGAAGTCACAGCAAATACTGAATTCGTGAATCCTGAACCACTGCTTTCAGGGGAAATGCAGGGTTAGGTTCCTGCAAGCCTCTGGTCCCCACATTTTCATCCACTGACCTGCACATCACCTGGTTGCTTCATTTTTCTATCTAAAGACTTCTTACTTGGATAACCCTGGGTTCGATCCCTGGCTTGGGAAGATCCTCTGGAGAAGGGAACAGCAACCCACTCCAGTATTCTTGCCTGGAGAATTCCATGGACAGAGGAGCCTGGTGGGCTACAGTCCGTGGGGTTGCAAAGAGTCAGACACAACTGAGCAACTAACACATGCACACACATTATTTGATAGATACTGTTGATCCCCTAACATGTAACTCACAGCTGCCAGCTCTATAAATCATGCCTGGACAAAGCTTATCAAAGATTTTTCTCCATAAGAAATACTTTAGCCTTCTTGCCTTTAGAAACACTAGACAGTACTTCAACCCTACACGTGGAGGCTGTTTTAAAAGGCACAAAAACGAGAAGAATGTGATAGATCACAAGAACACATATTTACAGCATGAGAGGTGAAACCAGAGGGTGCAGCTTCAGCTTGTGTGAACCACAGCTGAGAATGTCTGTGTTGGGGGCTCCAGTGATCTGCTGCCATGCACATGGTGTCCTGAGTGCCTGCAAAAGTCTCTTTTTAAAAAATGTTTTTAATATTTATTT